AAGTGTACAATGCATGGTTTCTCACTGTTAAGTGTAGTTAGGAATCTGAATCGGAACTAGATCTTCAAGGGAACAATTAATCCTTTCGTGCGGCTATATGCGTGGGGGTTATCGACAGGGCGGAAATATTGTGAGTCTTGTGCGCCTCTCGTGAGATATCCACCACGTTTTCAGAACTTCAAGATAACTCGGATCTATCAAAGGCTCTACCCAGATATCAGATATATGAAAACTCAGGTGCTTATTGGGGTAATCATTGGTCGAACTGTAGATTTTCGAAAGTTCACTCAGTACTATTCGCCCCAGCCAATAAATGTTCAGATCAATCATGAGTAACAGAGTTGCCTTGTTCAGTTTCTTACAGCAGAGCTCTACGCGCATGGTGATACAGGTGGGTTCGAATAATTGGTGACTCTTTATGGAAGGGTTCGCAGTCATCAATATCGGCATTTCAGCAAATCATAAGGCTAATTATCATGACTACAGATAGATATGTGTGACGTTCATATGATTGGCAGTTTATTACATTAGTGATTTGAGGCATGTGTGCATCATTCTCAATCAGACAAGGAGGGGTGCATTCGGAGACTCTGGTTGAGACTCTTGTATTATAAAGGCAGCAACATCCACCGGCCTTAGAAGAGAAAAAAAAGCTTGCTATCAACCAATAGTTACTCTAAAAAGAACATTATTATAATTATATTATTCTCCACGGTAACATCTACCACCAAATCTATGTCTGGAGATTTCGCCTTCCACGATTTCGGCGGCGGTTACGATGTTGGGCAGGGGTCCCCCCACAGCAGTATTCAAACCAACGAGATGGCGATGGGCGATGAGCGCAGTGTTGCGGATTACAACTTAGAAGCTATCGTATCTATTAATTTTGATTCTTCCCATGAACCTTTCTTATACGACACCCCGCCAGGCGTAGCTTCGTCACCCGTTGGGAGTTTCTTAAACTATCAGCAAGGAAATGAACAATTCGGCCTGGGGGCAATGTTTCACCCACTGGAAATACAACAGGCACTCTACAACCCCAACAATCATTACCGATTTCCGAACCTCATTAACCCCAGCTTATGGAGGTCTCCGGGCGTAGCAGAACCAACCGCACCTGTATCCACTGCAGTGCCTGCGAATCAGGCCGCCGTGACGTCAAGGAGGGACAATCGATGTGGAGATGATTGCGAGGGAAAGTTCGAGTAAGTATTCAGATGTCTATTTTGTTGCAGTATCTGACCGGAAGCCATAGAGGAGAACATGAATGCACGCGTAGCAGGGAGGGACACACTGTTCTATGTCGTGCAAAGGGCTGCAAATCACTCCTCACCACCCGCGGCCGCTTTAACAGACATTGGACTACCAAACATCAAAATGGGGCTTTTTCAAGGCAAAAGCTTAGTTGCCCGGTCATTGGCTGCGCGAGAGTTGGTGAAAATGGTTTTGGGCGCCAAGATAATCTTCGTCAACATCGTCGGAATGTCCACAGCGAGAACATCCCGAAAGAGCGACGTCGATGTATGGGAGCCGTCAGTAAGCCTCGCTAAGGAAGCTTTTATGTGCGTAACTAGGTATATAGGTTAGAACTTTAGTGAAAGAAAATTGGACTCGATATAACCCAGACCAAATGAAGTTCGAGATGATTGGTTGATTGATAATACATTGATTGAATGCAATGAAGTTCGGGATCGATCGCGCTGTGTTATTGGTATTGTATAGTCGATTAGCTAACTGTAAATATATTCTTGACCAGAATATATTTCGATTTCATTTGATGAATTGAATTCTCTATTAGAATGCAATAACACCTCCACTCTCGCTCGTCGTACCCGGAATTTTGTGAAGAGCACCGCCACACACGGAAACAAAACACCGAAGCTCAATATTATACCAGATGTGTGTCGAGAGACTATGATAGACTCGATGGCGAGAAAGGAACTGAAACTCAGACAAGATATTAACCATGGCAGTCAGCCTTGCCTTCAAAAGCAACTGTTTTTATGCGTTTTCATCTGCCGGTAGTTGTGTTCAAAACCGGCCTAGCATTCAATGAAACAACACAACGTCAGCAAAAACACCAGATGCCGGCACAACGGACAACGTAGTTAATAACCTGGCGCACATTGAATGAAACTTCTGCGCAGCTCTAATCTGCCTCAAGACAGCAAACTGTCTGTTTAGCTGTGAGCGCCGTTGTTCCTGGTAGACATGACGTATTCCAGGGCCATGGTCGGGGTAGATATTTTCTAACCTGGGAAAAGAAAAGAAACAAGGCGTTGAAGATATCTCCTACTGCCCGCCCGACAGCTACCCCGGCCGGCCGCTACGTACTCCAGATTGCCATGAATGGTGTGGGAGGCATCCTCGGTCTCTGTTGTATGTTTGCGGGGAATTCCGCCTTGAGCGGGCTTTCCAATCTATGTATATGTACATGTAGCTATGGCGTTCTTATATAAGCAGTGATAGGCTGATAACCTTAAGCCTCACAGAGCCTCAAACCTTATTTTCACGTCATAAGTCCGTCTTCTGCGTGCACGTGCGCTGCTGAATTGAGAAGGAATTAGCGGAAGATACCTGGCTGCAGAGTACTAGTGAGTAGATCTACTGATGCAGATCGGTCCAATCCTGTGGAAGCTCGCCCTCGGTCTGATGTGATGTGTTTCCTTGTACCTACATGTAGCTTCCTTCATGATCATGATCACATTGCGGGTGGGACGCAACGGGAATGAACACCACAACGACAGGCCACCAAACCCTGTCACCAACGAACGGCGATACAGGATGAAATATGTTTAAGGCTTCTTATATTCCTTATTATCACCCGCCGTATTTCAAAATGGGTATTTTAGTATGTAAAATGCGCCAAGCATTCACAAAGTGAGACGGTATTATACCCATTTATACCCTTAGAGAAGCATTTATACCCCTAAAAAAGCAAACCCGATTAGGCCTTGGCAGTGATGCAGCAGAACGCCCTCCTCTTATTGGCCCATGGCGGCAATATTGCAGCCACAATTGTCCCACTTCTGTATTTTCAGTACGCCACCATTTCACATTTATGAGTGTGGGCACCATAGTGTCACCGTGCCTTCTAGAATTCTTGCATTTGCGTTGTCTCCGCCTCCCGTCCCCGCAACTCGCCGAATTTACAAATCTTCTCGACTCAAAACCCACCGTTTTGAGATACATACAGTAGCCTTCCTAGATCGCACTTGTCTAGATATGGTGCGCACACTCTTAAAGGTGACACGGTGACATACTCGGGCCAGGTAAAAAGTACCGGACAATGCAGGTTTTGTCTCGGGGCTTTTTTGCAGTAGTTCACGCCTAGCATGCGCGCACCCATTGGTGAACCAAAAACCTGCATTGTCCGGTACTTTTTACCTGCCCCGAGTATGGAAATGAAACAGTTGTGGCTGCAATAGCCATGGCCTGGTCAGGTTTGCTTTTTTAAGGGTATAATACTGTTCCACTTTGTTCAGTCTTGGCGCTTTTTCCATACTAAAATACTGAATTTCAAGCTCTAATAACCCCATAACCAGGAGAGATATCAAAAATCTGGATGGTACAATTATTTTTCATCACTAGTACTACAATCAGACCAGCCGAATTTCCTTTGATTTCTTTCGTTGCAAAGTTATTCGCCCTCGACCTCGCTCACCATACACACAACAGTGGCTCTGATCGCTGACATGCGTACCGCATGAAAGTATCAACTCATACAGGTTACCACAAACCTTTCTTTACTTACAACGAATCATCTTCGGTGGAGAAGATCACAGTCAGGTATTCTTTCACCAAAAGGGAGATATCTTCCCTAGAGATGAGATATGCAGAAGTAGTAGGTTACAAGTAGGCTCGAGGAGGGAGCTCCAGGCGAGCTCGGCGATGTATGATGGAGAGTGGAAACCCCCCACGCTCTATAGCGCTAGCGCGCCTTCTCTCAATGATAGGAGACCTTGACAAACTTAGAAGATGTTCACAATGTGTTAACTATTGCTAGGTTCATCTATAGTATCAGATTGTTACGGGCTGGGAGGACCCCGAATACCGGTTAGGAAGCTAGTGCCGTCAACCTCAATGCAATATCGCAAGCAAAACATTGTCAACACAACTCGCTCATCACCCAGGCGGGTGCGCACGCTACCAATTACCCCTCCAGAAATAAACATCTCATCTCTTTTTCTCTCTTTTGACAGCTCTACTTCACCTGCAAACTAATAAACAGCCGCAGAGATATACCCAGCAGGATTAGGTTTGGTCACAGTACCTACTTACCAAGCCTCAATCTTCTACTCTACAAGCGATACTGCATATATAATAAGTCAAACTGGGCTGGAGTTCCGTACTCTGATTGGTCAAAACGATCAAAAGTTAAGATCTAAACCGGTTCGATTGAGGCTAAATGCAATCCCAAGGCTTGGTCAACGGGATTTTGCGGTGCCTATAGCTCGAGAAGCTATGGTGGGTAGGTGTGTAAACTTCGGCGTTTGCAGCCAATCAATCTATAGAAATTTGGAGATCTACCCCCATACTGGTACTAGCGTTCAGCCTAACGGTGGAATTTTCTCTCCAATTCCCATAGAATTATTTATGCACATGCGGTACTGTCGGTTCGCAAAGTGCACTTTCTAATTAACCCGGCCGGATAGCTGCCTATTTCCGGCATAGGATAGAGTACCGATATTTCTGGCGAGTACGCCCACGGGCTTAAAGCAATCCCGTGACTTGAGCTAATCAGCGAGCGATTTTATACCACCACTTTGCTTTAAGCCCATGGGCGTACTCGCCAGTACTTTGTGGTGGTGGCGAAGTAAGTGTATAAAAAACTCTTGGCATTACTTCGGTGTTATTATCTGCGCAAGTGTTGCGCAGAGTGTAACCTCGAATGATATTGTGAGAGGAGGGGGATTCCGCTTTCGGAGATCTCATGGCATGGTCTGCCACCGTTCAAAAGGAAGATAGTTCATATAAAAAAAAGATGAAGCTTATGTCAAGTCGGTGTAGTATAGTGGTTAGTACTTCTCGTTGTGGTCACACATCTCCGAGAGGACCCATGTTCGATTCATGGCACCGACAATACCAAGATTAATTTTTTTGCATTCTGATTCTTATTCACAATTTTATCAATACCACCCATAAATGAAGTAGTAAGCCGCCAAAGTAGGAATAAACCCCACAATAGATGGAAGAGGGGTGCAGGCGGTTTGGGGCTGGATTTTCTGTTCTTTGATTTGGCCAAGGATTTGAAATCGGCTCGGATATGCTTTCTCGCTCGAAATGATCTTAATGCTCGAAGTTTTATGACAAACGAAAATTATGCAGTGTAATTCTCAGTTATCGACATGATGGTTGCATGCATATGGGTGAGACACCTCATAAGTAGGTACAGAGCAATTAATCCGCCACGTTTCCAAAGCCACGTTTCTAAAGCCAAGCTTCCGCCTCCGCCTCACCTGCGTTGCCACAGCGGTCTCTTGAAAAAAAAAGGCGCCACAAAATGCACCGCCACCGCCGCAATAATCATTGACAGCGCTCTGATGGCCGAACGGGAAAGAGCCAATCTACCGTTGTCAGGGTTGTTCGCCGCTGTTGATTTGATTCTCCAGATACCACTGGCCTTTTTTCCCCATCGCCGTACTAAAAGGGATTGAAACCGAGGTGGCTGGCTGGCTGCTCGGGGTGGAGAGGGGGGTATGGGAAGCCAAATGGCCTTGTGTGGTGTTGGGCTACAGTCTCGGAAATGAAGGGTAAAGTTGCTACCATGGAGCTACTTGATTGGATTAAGGATGCTGGTTTAAACCAGCATCGTAAGTAGAATATCATATCGATGCCGTATCAATACCGTATTTTTACAGCATTGCTAGCCTATTGACTGGAATAGGGTAGTGAATTTCTATCCCTTTTCTTAGGTACAAGATTGTGATTGAGGTTTAATATTATAGAAAGAATGCATGAGAATTAGGTGATACGTGGCTTGATAGCTGCTCATCACGAAGCCAGCCCTAACCCTTGTTTTATGCACAACGTTCAATTAAGCTCCACTTGCTTCCCGTGTTTCCTTTATGGGCCAAGATGATGCAGAGTAATCAGGAATCATGGTGGTCTTAGACGGGTTATCAACATGAAGTGCATTTCGGCACAACCTAAAGATCAAGCTAAACGATATGTACTGCTTTCCCAGCATTAATTTGTTTGCTCAGTACAGTCAGTAACCGCATGTAACAATGATAAAAAACGATGCAATAGCACCTAATTAGGTGCTTTGCCAATTGCAATGATTCAGCTGCTCCTCCACCAATATTTTTAACCGCTTCATTATCCGCTCATGATCATATTATCCCAATCTCTTCGTCCACGACACCCCTCATCGCAACTTTCTTCCTTTTAATTGTATCGCCGCCTTCACCCACTGGCTGACTCCCTGTACTCGCCATGGATAGCCGCCTGATTTCTGTCAATGCTGCACTTACCGGGACGCTCACTCCACCCCCGATAGAATAAAAATTATCACTAGAGATGTATGCTGGCGCTGGGTGATTTGGGCCTTGATCTAGATCGCTCTCTCCCACTGCTGTACCCCTGCTTTTTGAACCATATTGTCTATCTTTCCATCCTTTGAAAGCATTAAAGACATCCTGGAGAGTGAGGAGTAAATTGCTTGCGACTAGAAACATAATTACCGCGAAGAGAGTGAGTAAAGTAAAAAAGCCAATGTAAGCAAGCGTATCGCCCATCTTGCCGAAGGCTGGCCTTGCGCTAGGTAGTGCTAGTGGTGCAGTATGAGGTGGGGTACCAGGTGATGTCAACGACGATGCTACTCGAGGTGTATCGGTAAGTGGTAGTGTATTTTGGCTCGAGTCTGATAATGGAGGTGTCCCAATATCCGTAGGGTTTGCTAAAAGGCTACTAAGCGGTGGCGTGATCACACCTCGTCTCACGAGAGGATCTTTGTAATCCCCAGTTGTGTCTTCCCCAACAGCTCCAACATATTCAGGGTGAGGTGTCAGTGGGCACTTCATAAGATACTTTCCACCGTGCTTACCAAATTTGCAATTTTGCCATAACCTCGGTGGACCTGCGGAAAAATGCGCTGGGAATTCCTGCCCGACTAGAGACTCATCACCGGTTTGACGACGTTTCCGAAATTTGTTGTGCCGTTTAACACGAAGATTCTCCGCGTTTTCTTGGCCAAGGTCGTACCAATCAGGAATCTCACATAACACTTTCGACCCTGATCCATCGAAGCAACGGAACCAGCGGTCAATTATAATCCCTGATTGAGAACCTTCATTATCCTCATATTTACTTCCAATATGTGAAGTATCCCTTTCCTGCCTACTCCATATAAGTTCCCGTCGGACATGCTCCTCACTCTTCTTATCATAATTAAAAAATCCAACGTGGCCGTCACTACTTTCGGTGGAGATACCGGCCTGAAACATTTCATCGTCTGGAAATGTGTAATTCCCAGAGTAAACTTCGAGGTAGTGTTCGAGTAGCATTTCGAATAGAGCTATTGAATCCATGTTCTCTGATCCATTCTTTTGTTTTGCTGCGTCGCGCAGATTAGACATTACGCCTTTTATAACGGGTGTCCAGTTGAAACTGGCAATGTCAAAATTTGTATCCCCGATAAGTTCGGATAGCCTGATGACCAGTAATCTTGCAGCATCCTCCGGTACTTGGAGCCATGCTGCTTCTGACCCCTCCTGCGAATTATAAAGTGCAATTAGTGGAGGGATAGTCAACGAATAAAGATATTTAACTAGTTTGTCTTGGTAAGAGTCTTGCTGTGCACGGGCTAAAGAGCTCCCAAGACCGTCGTCGTCACCGGCATCATCCTCATCTTCATCATCAAAGACAGCGATAATGGCTTCGGCCTCAACATCAATTCCACAGTTAAGCTCAACTTCTGTATCATATTTATTCTCGTGATACCAGCAATATAATATACCTTTGATATCCAAGGCAAGTAGGCTATCCATACGTTTCTGGACGAAGCTTTGACCCTCAGAAGTGGGATGGATATTTTCGTTCTGCTCCCTAGAGTTGAGCAGGAGGTTTGACGAGGGAATGGATCGGGGAGAAACTGATTGGGCCTCAGTTTTAGTTTCTGGCTCTGATGGTGTTGATGTAGATAATAGACGAAGATCATAGCTGTTGTCGACAGGATACATTTGAACGAAATAATTAGCAGTATCGAATTCAGGACTCGGAATCATGTTGGGGCCAACAGATATCGGTAGTCCATTTAGTAACTCTGAAATGAGCAATTCATAGGTCGAATCGTCTAAAATCTTTCTAGAAGCTCGATTTGCTCTTCCGCATCTGAGCCTTCTAGCCCCTGATGTATTTCTTATCCGACAAGGGTATAGACTCGCCGCTGGGCTCTCGGTGGCAGGGGTCTCGTCGACATTGGTATGGTGCAAATGTGAATCCCGGCCAAGTAAGATAACCGATCTCCGATGGACCGGTGTATCATGGCTGACTAGGGCGCAGCCCAGGTCTGTGACACCATCAGCGATAGTTGGCTCACAGATTATCCACGTAGCCTCGGCACCAGGTTGGTATGGTGTGAAAGGCGAATGGCTCTCTCGGTTTACAATTGATTTAGGTGAGCCATGAGATGGCGGCAATGCACGAGCGGAAACATTTAAGACAGAATAAACCAAGATAGGAAGCAGAGCTAGAGTCTTTCGCCAACTAACAAACGATCCCATCTGTTGAAGAAAGCCGAGCGCTTTTAGCGATATAGGAGAAGTAGGAAATCAGGTCACTGGAATTATACGCACTTTGGCGGGTAAGACGTGATCTGACGAGACACAGGTCGTAATTCAATGATGGAAATGATAGAAATTTATTGGGTGTTTGGATTTGTTGTATAAAAAGGATAGAAGCTTAGATGTGAAGCAAGTACTATCGTCCGAGGATCTTGTAGAGAGTCCTCGTAGGTATTGACACGTTGAGAGAAGAGACCAAAACAACACTTTGGGCGTGGCCTTTTCCCGAACAAAGTTTATATACACGTCACCGCACACCTAGAAGATAGTGTGCATAAGCACATGTATCGGTCGTGAACCTCCATATGTATATCAAATACCCCCTTCGGATGACGGTAAATACTTATAACACTTCAGGCTTTGCTTTATAAAGGTAATCGGAGGACGCCGATCTTCAATAATAAGTACGGCGAGCACTACCCTGGATATTTCAAGTGTCTATATGGACCTAGCCTACCGGCGAGAGCCACTACAAACGGTGATAGAAATGATAATTAAAGACACTCGGTGTAGCTAATAAAATCTTGCGTTATTTGGTTACTATATGCAGTTATGTCACAATATATCACTCGGATAACTATTCATAGGTGTTTTATGATTTCTTCTTCTTCTTTTGTTTGATTCATTAATTACATGGCATTTTATGATTCTAGTGTGAAGAGTACCCAAATCTAGAAGGAAACGCGTCGCTCGGATGAGTCTAGTACTGAGTAAAAATCCCTTTATATTAAAACGGACGGCTAATATAAGAGGCGACGAAACAAAGCAAATACTCTGTGTGCAATACCAAAAAAGGGTATGGATCCTTTACGTTACTCACACTAATATGCTACTAATGTAATAAGAATAGGCATCCGGCATAATTCCGTATTGCTCACCAAATTCCGTAGTCATATAGTACTGATATCACGTGCTATAGGTATGAAATACATGGTACTTTTTGAATTCCAACCCATTCCATGGTTTCTGAAGAGCTGCACAAGTTTTACGCAGTATATCATCCCCGGGAGCTGTTCTACTAGTACTAGGACAAGACGGATTAGAAAAGTGCTCAAATCCGGGGCAAGCTCTTCAAGGACGGGCCCGACCATAACGCTCGATAATCGAGGCTGTGAAAGCAAGAAAAAAAGAAACAAACGAAAAGAAAAATCTGGGTGTAAAAGAACTGCAAATATGATCTGCTACATATAGTTAAGTCTCCTATATGCTGACATGCGAGATGGGGAGCGACATGTCTGCCTGTCAGGAACAAGCATTCTATATGCCACAGCCGCTACCAAGAGCGAAATCCTGTGC